AGCCCCGTGGGCTTAATTTCGAAAATAAGCCCATTAAAAAAAGAAGCCCCTCTTTTCAGTTTGCAAAAGTAATCACAAAAAGAAGCCCATCTTGAAAATGAGCTTATAATTAAGAAAAATGGGCTTCTTTCGAGACAGTATTTACATTCAGACTGACTTCATCTTTGGGTGATATGATAGCGTGTCAGTATCAATTTTATACGCAGTAAATCTAATTTGAATATTAATAATTACTACGATTTTATAGCTGCTACCCATATGTTTCTCCATCTGATATATCTATTTGTTTATATATAAAATCAGGAAACAGTGTTATCTTATTAATAAAATATTCTACAATCATAAATTTACTTCTGACTTATGATTTTTTTGTTGATACGCAGATGAGCCCAAGATGTCAACACATAACTTAACCATGCCCTCTAATCCAAGAGAAGTAGCAAACTCATTGCTACCGTCGCTGAAGTTAATCACAGCGTCTACGGCATAATCTGCAGGATGTAAGATACTGTCATTCTCGATGAAACCATGTTTGAAACATTCTTTCAAAATGTTCACAAACAGACCTGGAAAAAAACAAATAAACGAGAGTGAATTATAAATACAGTACAATTTTTTAAAGCAAAATTTATACATATATATATTTGTATAAATTATAAAAGGTACATTAAATGCTTGTAAATGTCTTATGCAGTTTGCAGTTTTTTGGAGAAAAAAACTGTAGTTCATGAAATTGAAATTTTGGTAGCTCTTCTTCTTAATGTTATTTATACCTGCAGCTTTTTTTTCAACTAATGTTACTCCAATTTTTTCTCTAACATCAAAGGAGTAATCGCATATAATTTTCAATTCGTGCATGGCATCTTTGGTGTGATAACTCTTCATTTTCTTCAACTTGTATATACTCTGCAGGACAACTTGTTCTTTCTTATCCATGACTAAGGAAAATGATTCTCCACTAAATGAAAATACAGGTGAGTCTGTGAACGAAAAATAGGAATGACTGAGAAAACCGGAATATTTTGATAACGTTTATTTTAGTGCATTTAAAGGTGTCTATTTTTCAAATATCCTTAGTTCTTAATTCATTTGTTTAAAGATCCAGCATATTACTTTAGTTGATATCACTGGCCAAAGATAACAGCTGAGTCATGAAACAACTCGTTATAATGTTTTTGGTGATTTAACACAATATTAGGGCACTGCAAACATTAAAATTCTGTAACTTAAAGTACAGAATACATATCAATATCCTGTATACACCCAATAGCGGCGCTACAGGGGAGGGGAATGCGGGGGTCTTCCAGAAAATTTTCATTTATTCATTTTTTTAGACTCAATCTTGGGAATTTTCAGTTTTTCCCAGTGATCACGCTGATATAGAAGAGCAGGCGTGGAAGTAATAAAATCATCACGTCCTCCCGGTCGTTGCTACTTAACAGAGATAATATTGGTGTTTCTGCTCGAGTATTAGCTGATGCAGCTAAATATGGGTGTAATATTCATCAGCCAAAAGAGTAAGTATTTTAAAAAGAGATTTCCTGTTTCCCTTCCCGTAGTTTAATTAGTGCATCCGGATGCAAACTTTTTAAAATAACGGTTCTACACGTGTCTTATCAGGCTTCATCAATATTTCGAATGCAGCAAGAGTCATTCAGTGGAAAAACTAGGAAAAATACCTCGGGAAAATAGTGGCGGAAGACAGCCGGGGGAAAATCCCCGAGTTAAAAAAAAATCCGAGGGAAAAATTACCAGGTGGCAAGTAGCCATACTGCTATTTTCAGTTAAAACGTAAAACCACCTCGATTTTTTGAGTCTACTCAATCAACCAGTTTTCCCATGCTTTTCAAGGTGTATAGCTAGAACTCACAATACTAATCTTTGGCGTTTGTTGATAGTCGTTGTTAAACATTGTTTAGATCTCAGTAGTTTGCCCCTATCTCAAAGACTCTGTGCAAGCTTGTGTACAGACCTAACGTGCAAATTATCATATTCTGTGCAATAAGAGCAATGTTCACACGGGTGATTGTTCCTTAAATTAATGTTGTTTTTGGACATGTCCCAGGGATTGCGTTTATGTATTCACAAATAAAGGCAAATTTGTTCATCAAATGATTTACTTTATTATTATTTATTATTATTATTATTATTATTATTATTATTATTATTATTATCATCATCGAAATCATCATCATCATCATCATCATCATCATTATCATTATTATTATTATTATTATTATTATTAAATTGTTCCTTAAATTAATGTTGTTTTTGGAGATGTCCCAGGGATTGCGTTTATGTATTCACAAATAAAGGTAAATTTCTTCATCAAATGATTTACTTTATTATTATTATTATTATTATTATTATTATTATTATTATTATTATTATTATTATTATTATTATTATTATTATTATATATATTTATCTTCCGCAATTAAACCACTTGGAATTATAATTCTAATGTCTAAAAATATGATTAAATGAATATTATATCAATGTCGACATGGTCAAATTGTCATAAATAGATTATTTAAGGTCGTTAATGGTCATTTCAGGTCAAACATTGTATGAGGTCTTAATTATACGTAACTGTAACGGAAATTCAGCTTTGATAGGAACTACAGTATTTTATTTAAGGTTATTTTTGGATGCCATCTTGAATTTCATAAATAGATGCTATGCAAAACCTATATTTATTAATCTTAGATTGTAAACCATATAAAATTAGAATTTTGAAATGTCTAAAATGATGTTTTCATGGTCAAGGAATTATACCATTTGTGATACGATTATTATTATCATTAAAATTATTTAATTTTCGAAGATACGACAAACTTGAACAATAAATATCAAAACAAAAAGTATATGTATATATTTTCAAAGGCATATATAGTTCATTGCTTAAGACCATAATAATTGAACCGTATAGTAAGTTGGCCAAATGTTAGTTATAGCATTTTTTTTTATATCAGCAAGAATCATCTCACTGATGAAGGCCACAGGAGTGGCAGAAAAATCCGAGTTATTAATAAATAAGTGTTTTAAAAGTCCACTATTGAAGTTAGTTGTTTCATTTTCTCTCTCTCTCTCTC